ACTACCTCTAATATAATTACTACTACTACTACTACACTCACCACTACTGCTGTCGTTGCAGCTACTACCACTACTTCAACTGTTGCTACTGCTGCTACTACTAAGTAGAAATGTAACATTTAATCAACTTTGAAAGAAACCAAAACAAAGTTATCCTCCCATGCAAAGATCAATTTGAAAAATTTATGAATAAACTAGTCTAAATTGTTATTATTGTTGTAATTATTATAATTAAAATTATCATGATTAATTATTATTATATTATTATTGATGTAATAATATATATATTATTCATAATTACAATTGAATAAATTGAATGAAGTCGGTTTCAAAATTTTAACTCAATATAAAAGCCCTTACAGAAATGTACTTACTTGAGTTTGATCTGCCAGACATACCAACCAGAATTTATTGTTTATAAGTTTATATACCAATGTATGTATATGTGTGTTTGCATGTACGTATGTGAGTTTATGTGTTTGTGTGTGTGAGTATATGTGTGTTTGTGCAGTGATGAATTTTGATATCAATGAACTGCAAAATTTCGGCTGAAATGTCCAAAATTACCAAGCCAACTTTTTTTGCTCGTAGCGCAAATTTTTGTCAATTTTCAACTTATGTGTGTGTATGTATGTGTGTGTGTGTGTATGTGAGTATGTATGTGTGTGTGTATATTTATGAATGTATATGTGTATTATTATTATTATTATTAGGTAGATTTATATAGCGCCCTTTCATCAAATCTCAAAAGCGATTGTATGTATGTATGTATGTGTGTGTGTGTGTGTGTGTGTGTGTGTGTGTGTGTGTATGTATGTATGTATGTATGTATGTATGTATGTTAAAACCAAATCGTGATGAATGACACCATGTATGTATGTATGTATGTATGTATGTATGAAAAATTATTGTGTATCGGTAAGAGGTCTACAGCACTTTGGGTGTAATAATATTTCACCATTTTAAATTCACTCTACATCATCATCGTCGTCGTCATCATCATTGTAGACATCATTATCACGATCGCTAGCATCATCCCCACCATCATCACCATCATCATCGTCGTCGTCGTCATCTTCTAAAACTGGTCTGTCTCAAGTGTTTTATTTGGTATCAATTGAATATCTTACGTTGGCCCTTTTTTTTCCTACACTCAAGTGCAAATTTATTTCCAGATTAAATTCTATTTATTTATTTATAATTAAATTAAACGTTTTTTGTAAATTGTTTCTTTCTCTCTCTCTCCCACTCTCTCTCTCTCTCCCACTCTCTCTCTCTCTCTCTCTTTCTTTAAATCATTTTTTTCTCTTTCTCTCTCTCTCTTCAATTAAATCATCTCCACAAGGTGCAAGCTTCAAATAATAAAAAGAAATAAAAAGTAATAATTATGGTAATATTAATAAATAATTATAATAAAATTTGAAAATCCCGCCAAAACGTCACGTGGTTTGTGACGTAATCATCTGAAGGTTCACCATTTAATTGATCTATTGCTTGGGCGGCTTGGACGTTTCGCTAAGTCAGCCAAATTTAAATTGGATTGAATGAATGAATGAATGAATGAATGAATGAATGAATGAATGAATGAATGAATGAATGGATGGATAGATAAATGAAAAATGAATGAGTGAATGTACGAATGAATGAGAGAATGTGAGAAACATCTTTTAATTATATCTATAATAAAATGTCTGACAGCCAACTAAGTTATTTGATTGTGTATTTCATCAGGCTGTTTCTCTCTTTTAAAAGAGAGAGGGAAAGAGAAAAAAGAAGAAAGATATATATATATATATATATATATATATATATATATATATATATCTACATATATACACAAATACAAACATACATACAAACAAACAAACAAACAAACATACGTACGTTGATAAATTTATGTGTAAATTGAGTTCAGTATCGAATTACAATTTAAATGGATAAATGACGGATGGATTGACGGAAAAGAGCCGACGATGATGGGTTGATGGTAATCAATAAAAGAAAAAAAAGAATGAATAAATAAATGAATGAATGAACGAAAAAATTAATGAAAAAATGAATGGGTGGAGAAACTTATTAATGAACGAACAGAAGATAAAAAGAAAAAACGAATGTATGTGTGTTTGTATGTATATATGCATGTATGTATATATGTATGTATTTATGTTTGTATATATCTATGTATACACTGCACATATGTAGACATATCTTACAAAAGTTTTTTGTTACACTATGTTTAAGATGTTGGGAAAATCTGCCGGAAGAATTGTTATACCAGTACTACTACAACTACAACTACACAACTATTACTACTACGACTACTATTACTATTACTACTGCTAATGGTAATAAAAATAAGAAAATTATTATTTTTATTATTGTTATTGTTGTTGTTGTTGTTCAGAATGTATCAGCAATACGGTTGAATGGCCGTGACAGATTATGCAATGAGCCAAAAACTTTGTATGGACGTTTGTATGAACATGTATGTATGTGTGTGTGTATGTATGTATGTGTATGTTTGTATGTGTGTATATGTTTGTATGTATGCATGTGTGTGTATGTGTGCATCATGGACATCATCAGAATTTTAATCAGTATCATCATCAATATTCTCAACGTCGTCATCATCATCACAACCACCACAACTATCACAATCACCATCATCATCATTTTCATCATCACAATCATCACAATCACCAACATTGTAGGCTGGGTGAGTATGTTTTTGCCAGGTTTAAATTTACGGTTATACATTTATAATGAGAAAGCTTTCCTTGGTATACATCAGTGGCCACGTGTGTGTGTATGTGTGTATGTATGTATGTATGTATGTGTGTATATATGTATGCCAGTATGTATGTATGTATGTTAATGTGTCATCTTACAGCACAGGCAGAGCAAAACCGACACACCGAAAAATATAAAATTCGACGCCGGGATGGTAAAAAATTACAAACGCTGAACGCTGAACTATGAAAAATTTGATACAAACATTCAAAGACATACATACATACATACATACATACATACATACATACATACATACATACATACATACATACATACATGCAAAGAGAGAAATAGATATAGAAAGAGAGAGAAAGAAAGAGAGAGAGGGGTGGAAGAAAGAGAGATAAAAAAAGATAGAAAAGAACAAAAAAAAGTGAGGAAAGTAATATGTAATATAGTGAAAACAAGATGTGAAAAAAATGAAACGGATAAAAGAAGACGAGAGAAATAAAAAAAGAGAAAAAGAGAAGGAAAGAGAGAGGGAAAGAGAGAGAAAGAGAGAGAGAGAAATGGCGAGACGAAGCAAGCTCAAAAGCATCGTAAACAGGATGTTTATGTATTTTTTACAACTTTCGCCTGCGAGCCAACGCTAACAAACCAGTAGCACATTCAATCATCTACATACAAAATCTTTGTATGTTTCTTTGTATGTATGTTCGCATGTATTTTGTATGTATTTGTATGGATGTGTATGTATGTGTATTTGTATGGATGTGTATATATATATATGTATGGTCCCCTTGTTGATAAAAGCTAAAGCTATGTATGTATGTATGTATATGTGTGTATGTATGTATGTATGTATGTATGTATGTATGTATGTATGTATGTATGTATGTATGTATGTATGTATGTATGTATCTATTGCATGTTTTTTGTGTATATTACCCATTTTAGTTTATATGTTTTTCTCTATAGCAAGTTTACAAACAGCGTAATACCCACAAGTCTGCTATTTTTAACTTTGGGAATTACTGTTCTGTCATTTTTAAAATCATCATCATCATTACCAACATTGACATAATAATATTAATAATCATAAAAGCAACATAATAATAATAATAATAACCATCATCATCAAGACTATCGTTATCAGGAGAAGCAATTGTCAGAAGAAAAGCCCAGACGACTTCAAATCAACAGTGTAATAAAAAATTTTTCAAATATATACAAACGTACATACATACAAACAAACATACATAAAAAACACATACATACAAACACTTATACATACAAACACACATACAATACAAACACACATACATACATACACCAGTGCCATAAACAACAACAACATAACAA